CGGACTCCCCGCGCGGACGGGTCGTCGGCGGACTCGGGCGAGTTGCCAGACATTAGCGGACCGAGTGCGGACGGTCGCACTTTCGGGTCGAATCTGGCTGTACCCTGCTGACGGACTCAGGCAGTTTTACAATGCCGTTATCGCTGCCGGTTTTGAATAGATGCAACCTGGGAGGTTGTGCCTTTTGGGTTAGGACCTGGGTTAAAAGATGCAAGTCATTTAGGGTTTTAACAGCGCCAGCTGTACGTCTCTGTTCACAACCTAGCTGTAGTCCCGCTAGTACAGTGCATCATTCAGGCACTTGAACGCTGCTTTCATAAGGTCCGAGGAACGCATCATCCTTTGCTGGTAAAAGCTCTAGCTTGAGCTTTGGGCCGTTGCAGCTACGCATGGCAGCAAGTTCAAGGGGGGCAATACTTGGTGAGCTGATTGAGGGAAGGTGCTGATTTGTGAAGGGCATTCAAAAAGCTGGATTTGTAATCTGCCCATTGAGATGGAGGCAACCAGCAGATTTGGCTGCAAGTGTTTAAGTATTTTGAGGCGAAGGACACAAACTGTAGGGGATGCTTTCTCCCAGCTTGAAGTAAGAACAGCTGCAGCGGTAAAATCTTTAGTTGGCAGGGTTGAGGTAGTCTCAATTGGTCAAACATCTTATCCAGGCCAGCAATTGTGTTCGAATTCTGAGCTGCCCTGCAGTCCAGCACCTGTGCTCGGTTCTGTAATAAGCACCACAGAACCAGCAAGCAGAAGGGGGCATGGTTTTCTCTGGCCCTTAGGGTTGGCCCTTCTTGCTCCGACGCTCGCGGCCACTGAATTGGTGAGCAGGGGCCTTTTGTTGCAGAAAGCATTTCAGTTTGATTGCATGTTGTCCTCTGTTTTCTTGTCTCCTTCTGGATTCTGATAACATTGGAGGCCATTGTCATTTTCTGAATTCTTAGGAACCTGGAAACCTGAGATCAAGCGTCAATCAGGTTCAGTTCAGCACAGTTCTGGTCAGCAAATTGTTTGAAACATTCACTATAAACCTGGCAGGACAAATCAAGCAACGTGCTGGTCAGCATAGTGGTCATATATCATTCACTTAAGAAACTTGGCAGGACAAAGCATGCAAGTTGAGCCAATGACTAAACAAAATGCATTGAAAACAAGCTCAGTATTCCAAACATTCATTCTCCTCATCTTCAAGAAAACACAAGGTCATTGGCCACAACCTTCAAAGAGTTCATGGAAGTTAAAGACTCCTCAGATTGGCGGCCCGCTTCACATCTTAAAGCAGACATTCTATGCTTTCACAGACGGTGTGCGCTGCGGATGAGGATGATGCATACGATGAGCTTGAGCAGATTGAGGAGCTCGATGTGGAAGGTGCAGCAAATATGGAGGGAGATGAGCGTTCCGATAGCGACAGCTCAATCTCGGACATGGAAGGCGATGACCCTGAAGACGAAAGTCCAGATCAAACGAACGTGATTTTAACCAAGTTAGCTGCGGTGCGTTCTGATGCAACAAGAAGACTTTACCGTGCAAACAGGAAAGACTATCAGGTGAGCTGCAAATGGCCGTACATTTGAAGGTTCTTTCTTTCTGATACGAGCTGGCTGAACCTGCCATGGTGCCTGGCATTGTCAAGATTGATCATCACCTCCAGTGTGCTTCACTAAACCTTTCAAAACTAGATATCAGCTGTCAAATGTGATTTCTTTCTTCTTTCAGCGCTTTTGGGAGAGGAGACATCTGCTGAAAGCTGGAACAACAGTGTCCTGCGCAGCCGTCACTAAAGCAGGAGTTGGAAAATTTGTCGTGGCAAAGCGCAAGCGGGTAGGTCTTGTGATTACATCTGTGTCTGAACAGGTCTTGTGGGCAGAATGGTTTTTATGTACGTTGTCCAGAAAGGGTTCTGGTGTGATCACAATGGTTCCACAGTGTTGCAAATTGCACTTCCAGGTTTTTCGAGAAGCTGATGTGCAAAACGCTCATCATTGCTACTCTTCCGTGTTCTTCCAGAAACGCGATGTCTTGGGAACATGATTGCATACATGCATGAGTACTTCTTCATCTGACCTGACCGTGCGTGTATTGTTTCTCGTGCAGTCACACTCCTGGCTGAACAATCATATGAAAGCGTTCCAGTGGGTTTTCAGAGCATACAAGCGACCAGCAGATGCCACAGTACCGGACCTGCGAAGACTGGCGGTTGTTGAAGATACTATGAAGTTTGCAAAAGAGAAGAGCGCGAATCGTGCAAAAGAGTAAGTGGCCCTCCTCATGGTGTGTCAGAAGCCTCTGAGAACTCGGTATCGAAGGCCGCCTGCTTAGCTTGTCAAACTGGACACAATTGCAAGAGAGGAATTTTCATGTTGAGTTGGATTCTATCATTCCGTTTGCACCAACTTGCCCTTGTCCGTCAAGTGCAATCTGAAGAGTGAGTTGCTAACTAGGTTTCCAAGGGGCAATCTTTGAAACAGTGGCCCATTCGTATCATAGTTCGCTCTAAGCATGGCACTTACATATCTTTGTTCCTCGTTGCAGTGAATATGAGGACCGCCAGAAAGGTTTAAGTGCAGGTTACAGTCCGCAGGAGTACTGTCAGATCAGCGAGTACTGGTTAAACATGCTCCGAAAAGGCCACAAAGGGGATTCTAGGGAGCCACCTCCCTTCACAGCCCTCCAGCTAAGGTAGTGTGCCGTTGATTACTCGAGCTTCCTGGTTTACTATTTGAGGGCTAGCAAAAGGTCTGAAGATATTCTTGTTTCAAGGGTTTCTTCCTACATTCAAGGGTTAGCAAAAGGTCTAAAGATATTGTCATTTCAAGGTTTCTTCCTACATTCAAGGGTCGCTTGCAGCTGGTTTGTGATTGCTGTCTTTTTGCGTTTAGGCCCCTATGAAAGTTGTTATTGAGCATGATTTGGTCTCATCCCCGCTGGTTTTAGAAAGCTGTCATTTCGCGTCACGCCCTATGAAATTTCTTACCTCATTGTCTAATCTTCTTACCTCATTATCTGGTCTCATCCCCGCAGAGCGGATTTCCTCTGGTTAAACACCGCTCTAGGACGTGGCCAAGATGCTTACAACCGGCAGCTACCTGACCAGTTCGTGTACAATATGCCGTATGTGGGCCCGGATCAAGCGGACGTCTTTGCTACAGTCACCAGGAACGGCAAGACCAACAAGGTTAGTAGCTCGACTAACAGTCAGGAAGGTGGAACTTCAAGTCTTAGCAAAAGGTTTCTAGAGCTCCTTCAAGGGTTGCTGCATCCGACGATCTCTTATCTGATTGATTGCTTGAGTAGCAGGGACTCTAACAAGCGCGCGCCAAGTAAAACGTTTTCCAATCTTTTAAGTACGTGCTTGCAGAATGCAAGGGCGGAGTTTATTGGGGCCCTTCGCAATCGCAACGTCATGATCTGCTGTGTGGGGGCAGAGGCCATGCGTACCATCTGGCGGTTTCACATTGAGAAGAACCCTTCGACTTCCTCCCCTGACTTCAGCTCCAAACAGTCCTGGTAAGCACTACAACTTTGCAAGCTTGACGCATTGCACCGTGCGCGCCACGCAGTCACTGAGTCAGGAAAGAAGTCGAAGGCTTTGAGCTCAAAACCTTTAGTGACGGTTAGACTTCGATCCAAGACGCTTTAAAGCGAGTGTGCGTTTGGGGACACTTTAATTTAAAGTGAGTATGCGTTTGAGGACACTCTGTTGAGCAAGTGCATGAGAGACGACTAGTGCGTCCCTGTGCTCCGATCAAACCAGCTTGGGTTTTCCTCTCTTTAGGTATGACACGCCTGTTGCGCCGGGGCGAGCCACGAAGAAAAATCCTCACGGCCACCTCACCTACAATACTTACTACAAGTACTTTCGTGCCGCGTTCGAAGCAAACAACATCTCGTCGGATAAGGTCGTGCACGCTGGACGTGGGCATGGAACGCGAGCGGCAGCTGCGGCTGGGTGAGCAGAATTCAAACGCTTGTAAAGTTCCGGCCGAAAGATTGACAAGCATTTGTTCCAGCGCAGTCTTCAATTGAAGGCATACCGTTTCATACCGTCTGGTTCTTGCCGTGTTGGTTCCGAACAAATCTGAGGCTGCCATGGATTCTTTGAGCTCTAAAGATGCTGAGACATTCTGAGCCACTCCAAGTCAAATTATCTCACTCCTTAGTTGGAATGCAAGAATTGATGCTCAGGATTCAGCTATGCCGACGTTCAAGCCTTATAACAAGCTCATCAGGATTATGCTTTTTAATCTTGCAGAGCGGATCCTCGGGAGCTCCAGTCACTCGGCCGATGGACCTACGCCAACTTCGACATGTCCTATCTCACCAGCCTACCCCCAAAGGCGTTGGTCATTCAGGCCGGGGTCAACAAGGACGACACTAGAGGCCGACCTCTCTTGAAATCCTACATCGTCCCCCGGGGTCGGGTACAGCCTCCGGACGAGCTACTCCAGTTGTTGCTGCCGTGGTTGGACGCTGCGTTAGCCGCAATCAAAGAGGTAAGTAGCATCTCAGATGGTTCGTGTAGGCAGGGATTCGAGAACCGAGGCAGGCAAGTGCGCCTCAATCGTTGAAAACTTCGAAAATTTTGGCTCTGTTCACCTACAAACTGTGCGCATTGTGACGTTTCTTGCACGGCATCTTTCACGGGTGTATAGAAACGGGGTTTGAAGAAAGTCAGGCTTTACACAATCATCAGGCTTCATGCAATCATCTGGATTGAATCTGATGCGTTATCAATCTTTGAGTTTTGTTTTTGGCAGAGGAACGTGAGGGGCCGAGCGTCTGACCGGGATCTTGCGGCGGAGGGCGTTCTGCTCCGTTGGAAAAAGGAGCGCGTCATCTTCCTCCAAGACGCGGCCGTTCTTTGGAGCGCCTACCAGGACTTGACAATCTATCAACTCCCCGTTTTCAAGCACCCGAAGTGGGAGCCGTTCCGCCAAGAAGTCCTGGCGATGTGCGAGCGGTACAAGGACCTGGCGGTGGACGAGGTGGACGACTCAATTTTGCCGGCCGAGGTACGTTTTCTCGAAGACAATCTTAATCATGACGCAAACAGCTGCAAACGTTGAGCCGTCGGTTTGAAGGCAGCCAGCAATGCGAGGCCCCAGATAGACCCCAGTTAGACCGCCTCAGGTTTGCCGGACGCAAGAACGGACAGTCCGGGCCCGTCCTGACGCAATAACGGACATTACGGGCTGTAATGACGCAAGCAAGAACGGACAGTCCGGGCCCGTCCTGACGCAATAACGGACATTACGGGCTGTAATGACGCAAGCAAGAACGGACAGTCCGGGCTGTTACAAACCGAAGAAAGATCGAAGCGCCATTGTGCTCTCTCGAGATTGCTTGCGCAAGAAAGAAGCTGCTCAATGCAGAGTCTTTGACCGACGAAGGCTGAAGGCTGGTTCCTAAATGCTTTCAGACGAGACCTGTGTCTTACAAGGATACTTCTTTTCTGCACCCGCAGGTTGCTACAGCGTTGATTGCCCTCGAGGAGCGCATCATCGCGCTTCACGACCAACTTGCAGAGGTTCGCGCACAGGAGAACGCCGGGTCGCGAGAACGAGAGGAGGGGTTGCGGAGTGCGGTAGAAGAACTTGGGCGGAAGATGGACCAGCTTACACAGCAAGTTGCAGCAGCGGCCCCCACCGTTTGCACCGCGTGTGGGCACCGGCATGAGGCGCCAGCACCGTCGCAAGCTGAAGTTGGGGGCGGTTCCGGTGGAGCGTCCACGAGTGGGGCGGCCAATATCCCGCCGGCCGCCGGCGCTGGGCGGAGCGCTCAAGTCCGGAGAGATGAGCCAAACGTCCCTGCCACGGTCACTTATGATTTGGGTGGTGTGAAGAGTGTGCGCGATGTTGTCGACTTGTTCGAACGGGACGATCCAACGGGCCGACGCTCCTTGCTGTGGATGGAGGAGAACGGGCCAAAGAATTGGAGGGCTCAACAAAAGATTCCGCGCCAACGCTTTGATGATATCAAGGTAATCTATGACGGGGTATGTGCTTTGGCAATTTATAGGAGGCGAACGGTTGAGACGGCTGCAAACCTTCTTGAGGACTTGCAGCGGAGGGAAAGGTTCAGCTTTAGACAACTAAGATTGTTCATAAGAAAGAAAAGGGTTGAAGCCAAAGAGAGGCATAAGGAAGCAGTAGAGGAAGTAAAAGAAGCCCGCATAGAAAGGGATTTTGGTGAGATGTTGTCTGCAGAGTGTTCTCCGTAGTAGGTCTATTTCGTGTTAAACGTACATATTTAATTTGTGTACATATACATAATGTGTGTATTTAACGAATTGCATTGATGGTCATTCTATGGTTCACTCTCACAGCAAACATAGTATGTCTATCTTGCATATTGGATGACTGAGTTTAGTAAGGCTACGTGAATCACTACTGAGTGCACATGCTGGTAATCGACTCACGAGGTACAGCGTATCTGGTAGTTCACAAAATAGTATATCATGATGGTATAGCATGTTGTACATGAGAATACTATGATACATACGCAAGTGTTGTACTAACTAATCATCGTAGTACTATCTAGAATGCATTCGCATGCGTACTCTTTATGCTACATAAAATGTACGGCATGCCTCATCATTGCATAAGTGACTCAGCACATACATAGAGATTTAGGAATTGGATACTCTGCGTGTCCGGCAATCACGATCACACTGCAACGTACAACTATGAATAAAGTTCTGAAAGTTTGATTGAATCACACTCTTGATTTACATAATACATATCGCTTGAATGTCAATGACCGTCTGAACATTTATCATTATATTCTTATTGTTGGATACGGTTGCAAAAATCAAGGTAAAATGGGGATAAAATTCCGTTATACAGCTTCGGACTCAATAATAATACTAATAACTTACAAGAAGAGGTAGCACTAAGAGCTGCCATTGCAGTATCAAAATGCTGCACGACGTCAAAATAAATTAGTCCATTAGTCGGAGTTACATTTTCCAGATTCCAATTCAAAATACTTGTATATAATGACTTGAAGTCCATGGGTCTAATAAAAAATAACGAAAACCTGAGCAAGGCGCTGGCCAGAGTCACCGGGTCTGGTCGGGAAGTCCGTCCGACTGGTATGAAGACTTGTTCCCTGTACCTTTGAAGCCCTCGGGAACATTCATACCGGTACCAGGATTGGCGAACAACCGGCCGGTGGGCCGCGCGACCAGTCTAGTGACTGACTCCGACCGGCCGGCGACGGCGGCCGCCCCCCGGGCCTGACTGAGCGCCCCGGCACTGAGCGGCGCCGCGCGGCCGGCTTATCATTCAAT